TATTCGGGAAAGATTGCCCATACCAACCATAGATGAAGTCCTTGAAAGTCTTAATGGGAGTGGTGTTTTCTCGAAGTTAGATTTAAGGTGGGGTTTTCACCAAATTGAGCTGGATCCTGATTCAAGGGATATCACTGCTTTTGCCACCCATGATGGTATATTCCGCTACAAACGTTTGAGTTTCGGTGTAAATGCCGCACCAGAGAAGTACCAGCATATCATCACCCAGTCAATGGCAGGTCTACAAGGGGTGTCAAACATAGCAGATGATCTTATCGTTCATGGTCGAGACACTGAAGAACATGATAAGAACTTACACAGTGTGTTGCAACGTCTTAGTGAGAAGCAGCTGACTTTGAATGCTGAAAAATGCACTTTCCGAATGACTAAAGTGGTATTCATGGGTCTTTTGCTGAGTAAGCATGGCATCGGCCCAACGGAGGAAAAAGTCAGAGCAGTTGCAGAGGCAAGTCAGCCTCAGACACCCTCAGAAGTCCGTAGCTTCTTGGGGCTCGTTGGATTCAGTGCCAGGTTTATACCCGATTTTGCTACCACTGCTGATCCCCTCAGAAAACTTGCAAGAAAAGGGGAACCGTTCGTTTGGGGCAAGGAGCAGGAGCAGTCGTTTCAGAGATTGAAGAGTCAAGTTGCAAGTGCACCAGTCCTAGCTTACTTCGATAAGGACACACCCACCCGTGTTATTGCTGATGCAAGCCCTGTTGGACTTGGCGCCGTGCTGGTGCAAGAAAAGAATGGGGAAAGCCGTGCCATCTGTTATGCTAGTCGTAGTTTGAGTCAAGTGGAGCGTCGTTATAGTCAGACAGAAAAGGAAGCACTAGCCTTAGTCTGGGCTTGTGAACGCTTCCACCTCTACTTGTACGGGCTTCCACAGTTTGATCTGGTGACAGACCATGAAGCACTTAAAGTCATCTATTCCAGGAAGTCTAAACCTTCAGCCAGAATAGAGCGCTGGGTTCTGCGTTTACAACCGTACAACTATCAAGTTTGCTATGTGCCTTCAAGAAAAAACATCGCAGATGCCCTTTCCCGACTGACGAAGATACCGGCGTCAGACAATTCCGCGGAAGATGATGGATATGTACGCGCGATAGCTCTACATGCTGTCCCCGCTGCATTGAGAATCAAAGAGATTGAACAAGTCTCAGCACAAGACTCTGAGTTGCAAGCACTCAGAAATTGTCTCATCGAAGGGAAATGGGACAATGCCCCAAAGCAGTATTTGCCAGTGCGCAATGAGTTGACTTTTATTGGCCATGTAATTCTCCGGGGGACAAGAATTGTTATACCCCAAGCACTTCGCAAGAGAGTCGTTAGTTTGGCACACGAGGGGCACCAAGGAGTCACAAAGACAAAGGAGAGACTTAGAACAAAAGTCTGGTGGCCTGCTATGGATCGTGATGCCGAGAAAAGATGTGCAGAGTGTTACGGGTGCCAGATGGTTACAAAGAACGTTCCACCCCCACCATTGAAGTCAACACCGTTACCCAACAAACCATGGGAAGAAGTAGCTGTGGATCTAATGGGTCCGTTACCTTCTGGAGAACACTTGTTAGTTCTCGTTGATTATTACAGCCGGTGGATAGAAGTTGATGTTATCCGAACAACTTCCAGCAAAACCATCATTCATTGCTTGGATGCCCAATTTGCAAGACATGGGTTGCCTAAAGGTCTGCGTACCGACAATGGCTCAAATCTTGTATCCAAAGAAGTAGAAGATTACCTGAATGAAATGGGGATTGAACACCGTTACACAACACCTCTATGGCCAAGAGCTAATGGCGAGGTAGAGAGGCAAAACAGGTCGCTTCTTAAGTCCATGAGAGCAGCCCATGCAGAAGGACAGAATTGGAGAGAGGAGCTAAACAGGTTTCTTTTGGCGTACAGGTCCACGCCACATTCAACCACAGGAAAGAGTCCCGCCGAGTTATTGTTTAGGAGAAAGCTAACAACTAAAATGCCTGAGCTAGTCAACGTTGAAGAGGAGGAGCTAGAAGTGAGCGACCAAGCCGTTCGTGATCGGGACAATCAGAGAAAGCAGTTTAACAAGGACTATGTGGACAAGAAGTTCCATGCCAGAGATCGAAATGTGAAAGAAGGAGACAGTGTTCTGCTTGAGAAGAAGAAAGAAAATAAGCTGTCACCTTGCTATGAGAAGGAACCATATCAGGTGATATCTCGTTATGGGGACCAGGTGGTGTTGCGATCGCCTCAAGGTGTCCAGTACAAACGCAGCCTTCAGCATATTAAGTCCTTTAATATGCCAGATCCAGAAGAACAGGAAACGCCACAACAGGACGCTAAACCACGGACTGAACCTAAGTCATTTGAGACGCCACCTGTGGCAGAGGATCAAGTACCAATGGCTGAATCACCACCAGAAGATGTACCTTCTACTGTACCTACAGCTGAGCCGCATGTGAGAAGATCCGGCAGAATTACGAGCCGTCCAAAGGCTCTGAGTGACTACGTTCTGTACTAAAACTAGTGACATTGGCATTTTCATATTACTGTTCGTTGTTATTACATGAGTGACATTGAAACGTTGTTTTATAAGCTGAACGGCCAAGGCTATGTTTATGTTTAGCGTGATTTTTGTCTTGAACATTTGGAATCGAATTGAACTTTTACGGTATCTAAACAAAGTGGAAGTTTGTTATGTTTCTGTCTTTCGAGGTCAACCATCTGAGCGAAGAAAGAGAGGGAATGTAGTATACTAGGACAGCGGTTGTTTATGTAAAAGTATACATCCGGGAAAGTGTGAGCGCGGGAAGATTATTAAAGAAACGTGTACTGTGTGTGCTGTTGTTGTTCGCCTTCGTGGCTGCCTTTTGTGGCATACTTCTTCATTTTTAGACACTACACAGGGTATTCTACAGTTGCTTCAAAATTAAACAGCTGTTCTAGTTCAATTTACACTCTGGTCACGGTGCGTTTTACCTTCGACAATTTGCCGCCATACTTCTTAATTTAACAAACGTTAACATGGAAATTATATAAAATCTTCTCCATTCAACCCCGAAGTTCTTATCACTTTTATTTTTGTTCTTGTCGTTGAAATTTTTTGGTGTCAGTGGGAGTGGGTAGAGGGGATGTTGATGACTAAACTAAGATTGAAGCATCTATCTTATCTCAGACAGACCAAAATGTTTAAAAATTACGCATACTCTCTAATCCAATTTAACGTACAGCGGCAGAAGAAGAAACACCCCCCTCCCTTCCAAGATCTTCACACCAGCATAAACATATTCATAGAAGTTGGCGGAGGCGTCAAAACTTATACGTTGAATAGACTTTAATTGTGGCAACATTCACCGAATACATTCAAGGGTATGTAATGTCCTAAGAAACATTCAGCGGTCACTTGTTACCCCGAATGTAACTAGTTTGAACCATAACTTGAAAGCTCTTACGGTTTGAGTACCGCAATATCTGTAGAGTGCCTCAACTCCAAGGGTCTCGGCAAATCTTTAGGCTGGAACTCGCGGCCTTTAATTCCATTTGATTTTACATGACCTTCGAATGAGGAACAGAGCGTAAATTAACAATTTCGATGTTATATGGGCTTCTAGAGCGAATTTACAGCGTTTTTTTTTTTCCAGTGGGTTCGTTAGTTAGGCGTTACTCGTAGACGTACCTTAGAAAGGATTATTTAGGGGGCAGAGCAGATGAACTAAAACCGAGCAAAAATAGCCCTAAATCAGCCTAAAAATTCACACTATGCAAATGAACCACCATTTATGTATCTTTCGAGGACAACTGAGTGAGGACGTGTTGATTTTGACTGAGAAAAAAAAAATTTTATCGAAGTTTGGAAAAAGTAACGAAGCGGAAACTGACGTCTGTCGATTCTTTAAATAACGTTAGATGGTGAGTTCACCCACACCGCAATGGCGAAAATTTGTATGAACATAAGGAACTCTCAAAGAGGCGATATCAAATGTATCTTTGGTAATGTCAAGCGATTCCAAAAATTTATTTGGTTTTTTTAGTGGACAAATTCTCCGAGCTTGTGCATTCTATAATATCGCTCGGTTGTCGACAACTTAGAAATTCTACACTTCTGATCACACTGCCCGGCCGGACTCGGTCTCAAATGGACTAAATGCCCGGCAGTTAGAATTATTTACCAAAATGCCATTGAAGTGTCCTTCAAACCTCTCAAGAGTATCAGATGTTTGTTTAGAAATGTAACGCGATTCCAAAAATTAATTTGTTTTTTAGTGGATACATTATCCGAGCTTGTGCATAATGCAATATCGCTTGGTTGTCGACACTGAAATTCTATGCTTCTGATCAGACTGCCGGGCACGGTCTCTCAAATGGACTAAGTGACCGGCAGTCAGAAATTTTCGCGCAATTTCCGCCGAAAGGTTCTTTCAACATATTTAAGATAATCAAATGTTTGTTAAGAAATGTCAAACGATTACAAACATTTATTTGGTTTTTTAGTCGACAAATTCTCTGAGCTTGTGCATACTATAATATTGCTCGCTTGTCTGTCTGCTACGCTCCTAATAAGACTGCCGGACACGGTCTCAAATGGACTAAATGCCCGGCAGTCATAAATTTTCATCAAAATGCCACTGAAAGGTTCTTCAAACTTCCCAGGAGTGTCAGGTGTTTGCTTAGAAATGTCAAGCAATGTTAACATTGCGTTGGTTTTTCAGTGATCAAGCTTAAACCGCATGAACCTGCTAAAAAGCTTGGGAGGTCAGGCTGGTTTCGTAGAATATGTTGTCTTCGTGACAACTGTGGCGTGACAGCAAGGGTCAGTCACCTCAAATAAACCTGTTAATAATACAGTATTCGATGTTTGTTTAGGTTTCCCAAGTGATTCTAAAATTATTTGGTGGACAATTTTTCCAGCTGAGCGAATCACAAAATCGCTCGATTTGTCGACTCACAACAGAGTGCCGGGCACGATCGTAAATAGACTAAATACCCGGAATCGCTTGACATTTCTTAACAAACATCTGATAATACGAAGAAGTTTTAGTGGAAGTTGCGTGAAAATGTTTGACCGCCGGGTATTAAGTCTATTCGAGACCGTGCCCGGCTGCCAGGCATTTAGTCACAGGGTAATTATTTTAGTAAAAACGCAAACAGTTGATAACTCTACCATCTAAATTATATTTTGGTTTGACAACCACAGGAAGACAAGAGCAACTTCACTTCCAAAAACTATGTACACTCTATCTTGAGTAGCCGAAATAAGGGCTGAGATTGTATGGGCTAGCGACGAAAGAATGGCTGCCAAGATCGAACTGAACAAAGCTGTTTTTTTTTTCTTTAGGTGTGCCGTCGAATTTTCTCGCATGCTTGCAAAAAAATTTAGGCAAAAATCCAGCTCTTCAGTTGTCACTTCTTTAATGGATAATTTGAATTTGTTACCACTAGGACTGTAGGCGTTGCCTCTTGTTGACAAATTTACTTAATGACAAGAATCGTGATTGACATTAATTTCATAGATTGATTTAAAGCCGTTAGATTATGATGTTTTAAGTCAATTTTTCACCGGAATCGAAGTGAGAAAGAAGTTATTTTGTTATCAATTTTTCTGTTTCTAAATCCGCTTACCTGGAGAATCTGCTAACCAGTAAAGTGAGACTGTTGTAACGACCCGCCACAGAAGTAAGTTTACACTGAAGGTTTTTTAATTTAGTCAGTTTCCGCTTCGTTACTTTTTCCAAACTTCGATAAAAAATTTTTTTTTTAGCTTTAGACTTGATTTGCCTTTGTTCTGAGTGCGAATTATAAATGTGTTTCTTTTAGATCGAATAATTATTAAAGCTTGTCTTGATATTATTGGTCATTTGCATGGGCGGCCGTCACCACCAAATCGCCCCATGTAAGGAAATCCAGATTCCGGAATCCAGGAAATTTTTGCTCGTGGAATCCGGAATACTTGACTTTGGAAGGGAATCCAGGATTCTGCTAAAAAGGGAATCCAGAATCCATTTGCTGAAAATCCATTTCAAATCGTATTAGCGGCTTTCACCCGCATCCATGCAACCACTGTAGAGTGCAGTTCACTCACGTAGTCAATCGGTGCTCAAATTTAGAAAGTGTTTCTATAACAAAAGCGTTCAAATCCCACAGGATTTGCTCGGAACTTAATCAATATGGCCGCTATTTGATTGTTTTGGAACGCTTCTAAATAATGATATGGCCGCCTTGACGTCCTGTGAATATTAACTTACTGGTTATCATAACAACAATTGGAAGGTGACCTTGTAAAAGATACGCTTTAGTTTTGCTTTTAATCGAGGAATTTGTAAATTTCTGTGAAAATAATCTAACTGTTGACAACTTGGATGCTTTGCTTTTGGCCTGCTTTCCCTGCCGGTTTTTTAAGCAAATTGGGCGCAAGGCAAGCTTTGGCACCGGAAACTGCGCCACTTTTATCGAGCACCCAGCGTCAGGTATCGACTTTAATACTTAATACTAAATACTCTTTTTTATTTTCGACTCTTTCGAACTTTCTGACACTTCCAATTCGCGATTGACCAAAATAAAAAAAAATATTCATTTTCCATAAATCATAAAGAGAGCATCAAAAGTAATATTTTCCTGATGGCCGTGGGAGCATAGTTGTAATTAGAAGCCAGACGAAAGCCAGGAACTGTCAAAACTGCACCAGTCACTCAAAGCACGTGGAGGGACACAAGCCGCACTGCGATAATTGTTCCAGCGAGAAGATTGTCTGCAATTTATGTTTCACGATCTTATTGGGCAGAGAAGATGAGGGCATAAAGAAATGCGTTTCACTGAAAGCGCTTCGAATTTTAGACCGCATGGATGTCGAGACAGCACTGGAGATCCACCGAAAAGGGGTCAAGAATTCCATTCCAGACGAGAAAGTGAGCACTACATTAGTGCCCGAACTAGAATCCAAGCGCTGGAAGAAGAATGGGCTATCTCTTTTAAGCTACCCGGTAGGATTGACATTCTCCCCAAAACACAGCAGGCAGACGAAAGAGTTGACTGGCACACTTCCATATGCCCTCAGCATGCGTCCTTCTATCATCACAGCCTCATCGGAAGACTGCCACGACGTAACAACAGCCCTCCAAATAGAGGATGCTAATGTCGCACTACAGGGTAGAACTGTGCGGGTGCAAACTGTTTACCACATAGGAAGTCGTTGCTGTGAGACATAACCGCAGAAGAGAGATTTCGCCATTCTGGCTGGCTATTCTCTTACAAGACGTTCAATTAGAAGTAGATGGAGGCAATTTTTTACGAAAGAAGGTGCAATTTCAGTGGCCGAACCGGACAAGTGACCCTCTTACGTACACTCCCGGCGATGTCTGTGATCGGAACTCACCCAACTGCATTCTCACCCGAGTTTTGGGATTCACTGCCAAGGGTTCAAGCATCACTCTAACGTCTGAGGAGGACAACAGGCTCTCCAGGCTTGCTAATGGTGACCTTTACGACGAAGATGTTGGAGATGATGAGGATCAAAATCCGGAGGAT